TAAAAGATACTGTTTTTTTGGGTTTATCTCTGTAGTTCTATTTTTAGGAATAAATGATTTTTTTAAACATACCACTGTTTCAGGAATAGAGTGTCTGCCTTATGTACACGAGTAACGTTAGTTCGATCCCTAGCTGTTGGCGCCAATAAAATATTACTTGTAATTATAATTATAAAATAAAAGCACTCAATTTACCACACGTTTTAAGGTTGTATAGAAGTATTCTGGCACCCCGGTTCAGGCGTGACATCTGCCAATCCGCATTAGAGCGAAGTGGCGACTTCTCAGTTAATTATTACCTCAGAAATGGCAGCAGGTTTGCACCATACAGTGAATCTGCTTTACCTACCCAGTCATCACTCTGTATATAATACTAGCATGCCAGGGAGACGTTGTTCTGCCCTTTTCGACGACCCTGTCATGTCCTATTAAAAACCCTTAAATTCGCAAAAAAAATTGTGGGTCACTCATGGGCAAAAAACTATCCTATCTCTCAAGTTGGACAAAACTACACACGGTGTGCAAATTTGATTAAAATCGTTAAGTAATTTAAAAGTTAAGTAGTTTAAAATTCCATCGCGGACAAACAACGTGACACGTAATTTACCTATACTTATATATTAAGATGTACCTACACAGAAATTCTATAAAAGTATAGGACATGCAGTAAAGTTTCAGACGCAATTTTTTAAAATTATTTACAATGTTAAACCATTAAGTAACTACGTAATTCAAATAATTTAAACCTTTTTGCGTCCTTTTAACTACTCTGTTCCCAAAACAACTATTCTGTTCCCAAAACAATTCACACATTACGCCTACTTCAACGTAATGAAGTAGGCGTAACGTGTGAACGTCGCGGCTGATTATCCATTACTTATCTGTGCATGCAAGACACCCACGAGCTAAGACAGCTGTTAGGGGTCACGAGCGCGAGCCACCCCCGTTTCTCACGCGAACTTTACATCTGCTTAGAGCTCGGACCCTTCTTATAAACTTCATTACACGACAATAAAACTCGGCCTTATTATTTTTCTTCCCTAGCACTGATTTCATGTAACGGGACTCATTCGCAGCGTCGACATCGCTCGTGCTGTATGGCGCAGCTCCCGCACTTTTTTACTTTCATTTGATTTTGCAACTTACGCAAGTTACGAGTTCATAGTGTTGTGAATTGTTTAACTTATTGGAACAAATGGACGCTATCATCGATGCGCAAAACTCACAACTAAGAAGATTAAACGTGCCGGGTACGTAGTTTAAAAGTTAATTTAGTTGCGGGTAACATGATATAGTGTTGTTAAATTACTTTTTGAAAGTGATTAAAATTGAAATAGATACGTTTAAATATTATTTAACTCATATACAAACTGATTATTACTCGTTATATTTTATATCAGCCATAAAACTTATTTAAATTTGTGATTGTAAAATTATTTTTAACTTAAAAATGTTAAAAAATTAAAATGTTTATGTGGGTGAGTTTAGGCATTCGCAATTAATATCACTGTTTGCTATTACTTTAATATATTTAATACTAGCGATTATTCCACATGTGTTCTTTATTATAAACATAATATGACAGACCATGTACACAACTTTATGGAATGAATGTTATGTTATGTAATGTTATTTACAAGCTGTTGTTTTCTTAAATAAAAGTACATACATAAACACTCACGCCTGTCACCCAGAGGGGTAGGCAGAGACTACAGACTTCCATTTGGCACGATCCTGACATACCTCTCTCGTATACCTACGCATACATGCTCGTCGGTTAAGGGTACTCCTAATTTGGCCCGTTTTCAATAAATAAAAGTAATAGTAATTAATTGTTTATTTTAATAACGACCTTTATAGACCATGAAGATCCATTATAAAGCATTCATACTTCTCCTCTACTTTAGAAAAATATCTTTTAATACAGCGCTTGCTGCTGACATAGACCTTCCCCATAGACATTTGACATAAATACTGCATTATAGTGGGAAACCGCAGTTTTTTATTATTTTGAGTTGTACCTATCTCCAAGAAAATTGGATGACAATATATAACTTCAAAAAATAATGTAGTATGATAACTGTATTATAATAACGCTGTACACGCACTTGAGTTATTTTACTTTTGCACTTAAAGTAGTAAGTTACCGGCGGGTAATTAGGCCTGTCAACCTAAAAAAGGCCTAAGTAACAAAAATCGTATTTATAATAACCGCTCTCGCTGAAGGAGATAACAACAGGCTCCTATTACACGATAATGTCCATACAAGTTTGCAGAGACGCGCTACCCCGTGTCCTGCCACCAGAGTTTTTATCATAAGATACGTCCGCACTCGACCAATAATAAAAATCAGTCTAAATAAATCTTAGATATGTTTTGTTATATACTCAGCTATCTCAAATCACAATCTTTATCTGTGTGAATAAATGCTTTGTTGATCTTGAAGATTTGAATAACTATTAGTATCTAGTAATTATATCTAATAACTATATAGTATTGTCGTAATTTTTTTAAATTCGGTTTTTCTTAAATACTTGGTCGGCGGTTATTAAGGCCTACAAAATTTCACCATAGGTCTTATTATACTCCCTCTCCGTGTGTAGTTTTTTGTTCTATGATGTATTTTATATCACTTTAAAAATATTGTAAATGCAAATAAATCGTACGCTTTTATTATTAAACTAATATCGTAGTTAGAAAACGACCTGGTTTCAGCTGTACAATCAATTCAAAGATATTGTGTCGAATAATTAAGGCTTTGACATTTGAAGCTACTAAATTAAGTGTAAATTATTCGTCCTGCGCCTAAGCTCTCTCGGAACGTGTCGGATTGCGATTTGATGATTGTGAGGGAATAGAGAGTGCACCTGTGCTTGCACATTCAGAGACTATAATTCTGTACTGTGCAGATAGGCTGGTCTCCGTGGAGACTGGCCGCTGGGACGAAAATTCAGTTGAGAGAACACTCATCTAACTCGATTACTCTAGACACAACCGAAGCACTGATGATAATCGCGAGGAGTGCGTCGTTTGTCAGTTTGTTTTATATTATATATTTTTTTAGAAATTTAAGCGTAATTGCTGCATTTTTGTAATTATTGATCACAAATATTAAATATATTACGTATATTTTGATAATTTGAGTTCGTTAAATCAGTAGGCCTTATTATCCAACCATAGTAAAATAAGGCCTACTAGCAGAGTTTTTAGAAATGTTTAATTTTGTTTTTCTTTATGGCAAATGCTACAATTTTTCGTTCATGCTTTATAGAAACTGTACTAATCCAACGATTTTTCTTAAAATATGTAGTCAAATTGGATATTTTTCACGTATTATTCGAATGTCCCTTAGCTAGGCCTTATTACCCGCAGGTACCTTAGTTTTTATATTACCTATATTAAGTTATTTAACTAAAAATTGTACCATTTCAAGCAATTCTCTAGTTGTCAGGATCATTACGGTCATATCATAAGTAATTACTACACACTTTTACAGCGTGTTTTTATTTGAGCATATCTCATGAAAAAATGTTTCTTTAATTACCTTTTGATCTCTGTTTACAATCGTGTTCAAAATAGATTTTTTTAAACCTAGATGCTTATATCGAAGTTTTCACTCTTTATAAAAACATTTCCATTAACAATTTTCTCAATGTGATTTAATTTTTTGCTAAAGTTTTTTTTTCTATTCTGCGTAACAAGATTTACCGGTATTAACCGATAGCTTATTTCGCTCTTGTTTTATTCAACTAACGACGGAAAGTTTTTTCATAGACTATTTTAGGAGAGATTTTTATAAGTTTTTTTATTACTTTGACTGTACTACTTATTTTGTTTTGGAAAAGTAAGTCGTTAGTAAAAAGAGAGTTAAATAAGCTTTATGTTTATGCATATACTTCTGTATGAGTGTTTGTATCTGAACTCCTCTTAAACTGCTGGACCGATTTAGATGAAATTTTTGTGTCCCTGGATATTTTAAATTCACAATTGGGGAGAAATCAACCATGCGAAACCGGGGTGGATTACTAGTATCCTTTAGAACAAAAATGAAATATCGTTAAGAATCTAAATAATGCTCTACATTTAGCACTCTTTAATTGAAGCAAAGACAAATTAATATGGTACTATTAGAACTTGTCATTTAATTTTGATACATGAATATATAAGATGAATGAATATAATATCTTTTTCGTATGTACACAGTATATTTGTTTTGTCTAGAGGCTACATATAGTTATACTAAGTAGTATCCGATAAATAATGCTGCAGTCACGTTATAAAAAAATTCAATAATGGTTAAAATGATTCTTATTATATAATATTGGTTTAGAGCCAAAAAAGAAAATCACAATAGCTGAACCCAATAAATGGTGTGGTAATGGAGTTGTATATTTACATTAATTTACGTCGTGATTACTATGCGACGTCTATTATTATTAAGTCTGTATAAAGAATGATTGTGACCGATAGACAGACACGCTAACGGGCAACGAGGTGATCCCAGATATTGACATGAAACGACAATAATCTTTGTAAAGCACAGTCCAAGCGAAGCCGCGGTAAAAGTTAATACCTATATATTATAAATAGTAAATGCTAAACAGAAAATATTTTTCTATTATATCCTAGTTCAAAGCATTTGTATCTATCTACGTACCGCGTAGAATACAGAAGTTTTGTACATAATCCGCTTTCATGCGACTGTGTCGTATTTTGATCAAAGATCGTTTGTGAATGTGAACAATAAAGAACACAAAAGATTAGGGAGAGTCAGAGATGAAGAATATTCCATCTTTATTTAATTATTTTGTAATATCATGCCAAAGGTAGACCACGAACCTACTCGATGTCACCCAGCGTTGCTATCTAATGTATTTGCCTGAAGCACTTGCTTGAAAAGCTCTCTACGTGAATAATGACTCCATAATTTTTTTTGTTATGGAGCATTTGTCATTATTTTAGTTTCTTTATTTATTCACATTGTATACTGTTACGTAATAATGAAACACATTTACTTCCTTAAAGCTGTGTTTGATATCTGTGGAGCTCTACACTACAATCCAAAAAACCCTACAGGGCTAAGCGCGTACGCAGCAAAATTTTCGCGTGCCCGCGGCAGGTGGAGGCGGCGCGGGCGGTTTGCTTGTCCATCAGTTCAGCTTCAGTTGGACATGGACAGACTGGACAGTCGAGTGCGACGCGCGGTGGTGAACGGTTCTGTTATTAGTGAGTGCAGTGATCGGTCCGTGTGTGAATGTCCAATGTTTCCATGCAAGGCGCGGGGGCGGTGAGACCGGTCGACGGTCGCACGCCCGACCCGCCGACCTTACGTACCGTTCACTGTACGCAACACGACTATCGTGCCTCTGAGTGCATCCCAGGATCGAAAATGCAAAAGATAAAGACAACACTTGTGCTATAATTTCGCAAGAACTTATTATCTGTGAAACGGACAATAACATAGATGCATCGGTATTTCAAATTTGGACATTGTTCTCGGAGATATATTTATTATGTACGTTCTCTTTATTCAGTAAATACTGTACCTACTTATGTTAAAATAATACATGAGATATTATACAATATCTGTATCTAATACAAAATTATAAAAATGTACCTATACTTCAACAAATTTTCTTTCCATGATATTTTTAAAAAAACCTATATTAACTATCTCCTATAGCTGTATTTCCGAATAATCCTCATATACTTCAAATAACATAACTCTTAAAAGAATTTAACGCGAATATTATAATAATTAATTATATGACTGACATAACGGCTTATTCATGAATGAATTAGAACTATATTAAATGAATTAAGACTATGAGTTTTTGTGTAGCTAGTCAAAGGTCGTGATTATTATGGGCCCTAATCACGTTGCTATGTATTCAACCTTGTACACTAGACGAATAGTAAGAGTGGATAAAGCATGTCGCAATTTGTATTTTTCTCTATAAACCCATAGCTTGTTTAAAAGAAATAGATTTCAATTCGGGTTCAACTGTAAAAAATAAAGGATAAGGTTTACAATGGTGGTTTAAAAAGGTGGTGTGGGGGGAGGGGGAGGAGTTGTAGAGTCACCCCCTACTTCCACTTTCTGCCGGACGTACTTAGTTTTTTTTTTATAAATTTTTAAAAATCTCATTTTGACGTTATATTTCGTAATTGTTATGACAATTTTAACCTGATTTATGGGCAGAGAGAGTTGGGGGACGGAAGCCCCACGCCACTTAACGTGGTGCAGTCGAGTCGAGTCCTACTTCTGAGTGGTTTACAAAAAAATAACCACGAAAGGGATTACGGGGTCTATTCGCTCGCTCACTCGACCCCGTCATCCCCTTCTAACCTAACCTGTCCGAGTCGGGGTGCCCCACGTCCTAGGCTCGCTTCGCTCGCTATTGCACCCAATATAACACCAAAACATTAACTTTTATAACTACTTTAATTTATAAACATAATTTATGGCTGCCACCATTTGTAAGAAAGGATCTTTGCGATATTTAGCAGTATTCCGCCGCCACAAATATTCCACTATTCACCAAAATTATGAAACTTTCAGAGAGCAACGGCATGACGAAAAACTGTCAACAAAATGGCCGGCCTAGCGATTAATTTTACACATTTTTAAATCGATTCAAATCGAAATTGGATGAATCGATTCACAAAAAATCGAAATCGTAAAGACCGATTTCGCAAAAATAGATCTTTTTTTGATTTTTGGACCATTTCAATTATCAAAAGATACAATAAAGTACAGATAACATTGAATGATTGAATTAAAAACTGTCATTCTTTACGAGTTAGGGTATATTCAACTAATTGTAAATAATTTTACAAATCTTAATAAAACAGAAAAAGTTTCGATCTCGATTCTCTAGGGTGAAATATCGATTCACTAGATCGATTCAGTACTATATATCGATATGACATTGACAGATGAAACGTCAAAAACGATTAATTAGTCATTTACCAATATTTTTAAAAAAATTATTAAAAATACTTCGACGCTGCTCCATCGAGTGGGAGTGCTTCAGATAAACCCCCTTGACCCCCCCCCCCCCCACACACAGGGACAGAATCTTCAAATTCAGGCGACAGAATTGTAAACCCAAACCACGCAAAATCCATTTGAAAGTTTAAACTTTTATGAAGATCTTATTCTAATTTGTATACCTACTAGTCTTAAACATTACATTGCGGAAATGCGTACTAATTTTAGAAATTTAAATTTTTGATTATTATTGAAAACACATTTGCCTACCTAAAACACGTTTTGATGTAGTTAAACTTTTACGATCTAGAAACGATCTTTATTTTTTTAAATATAAATATACAATTTATATTTAAAAAATTAATTAACATTACGCATATCTATATGTATTTCACCTTTTATTTTAAATCTTTAGGTACCTACTATTAGTGTGTTCTTATTTTTCTTAGGTATTAGTTTCGTACGATTAAACGTTTCCCAGTGTAAAATATCTAATATGATATTAGATTATCAGATGCATCACAATACCATGAGATACTTTTCTTAAGTATCAAAACCACTATCTAAACGATAAAAGAGGAGCAACAATCTGCCAGCGGCAGTCACGTTCCCGCCAAAACTCCCATAAATGTTAACTATTGTTTATTGAATAAATAATAAACAAAACATAAAAGCGTAAGTGATGCCATCGATTTTAACTTAAAGGCTAGCCAAGTATCGATATTCCATAATGTAGACTGTGTCAGTTACTCAAAAACTTAAAGATAATCAAAATAAGCAAAAATAAAATAATCAATAAATATTAAAATAATGATTTTCAGTCCCAATTTTTTTCCTTGTTCCTAATTTCATTAAATTAATAGATAATTAATTTTATGAATATAGTTTACGGCTAAATATCGAAAATTTTGAAATATCATATGCGCCTGCCTAATCGATGCTCCTTTTTTCCTTTGGAGTCCAATTATAGTAACCTCTACGAAGTGTCTAATGGTACTCTAATAGTACCGAAACTTATATTTTATTTATTCAGCCATAAGGATTTTGCCGGGGCTACAATTGGGTAGAACCGATTGTGGTTGGTTAAACTTAGATGTATTAAATTATTTTATAGTTAAAAGAAGTTTGAAATGTTTGCTTTCGCCTAATAACAAGGAGTAGTGAAATATGTACCTATAATTATTAATATGTTATAACTTCTGTTAAACTTTAAATAAAAAAATTCTTGATTAAAACTACTTTTACGGATTTTATCGCGTTTATTTTTACTTTTTATTTTTAATTCCCGACGTTTCGGACGCTTTCCAGCACCCATGGTCACGGGGGACTGAGATGACTGACGTCCCGATGTCATTGTTAAACCCGGAGTACCTTCAGCTTTTTTAATTATTGTTTATGGTCCGATCTATGCAAAATGAACTGACTATGTCTTGAGGTCTTGCAGTGGTATGCTTGGGTTTAGTTTTAATTTTATTGATTATAGGATCCCAAGCAGGTGGTAGTACCCAGCCTCCTTCTCTATTGAAATTAGGATGTTTTTTAATTTCAATAGCCTCACGTATCATCCTTGGTAGGAATCGGTGTTCTTTCGCGAGGATTTGTGGTCTATCAAATCTGATGTAATGGTTGGGGCCGTCTAGGATATGATCACAAACTGCAGACTTCCCGGAACGTTGATGCTTCACATCAGCTATATGTTCTTTTACGCGGGTCCTAATTGATCTTTTGGTTTGTCCTATATAAGAGAGACCACATTCACAATCAAGCTTGTACACTCCTGCATCTTGTAGAGGAATATGACACTTGACGGATGGTAGGAACTGACTAATCTTCTTCGGCGGCTTGTAGAATGTTCTAATAGAAGCTCGCTTCAAGATATAGCCAATCTTGTCTGTGACACCTCTGACATATGGTAGTACAGCAGGCACACGCTCGACTGTGGCCGGCTTCACTCGGTCACTGTGACGTAGGCGCAGGACACGAAGCTTGTTGTCGTGCAGAACTTGCTTGACGTGCTGAAGCTCGGCGGCCAGGTGTTTGCTGTCACAGATCCCTCGTGCTCTCTGTAACAAAGATTTGCCCACGGTAGCTAACTGTGAAGGATGGTGGTGAGATTCACCGTTTAAATATCGGTTTGTATGGGTCTTTTTCCTATACACAGTGTGACCAATGGTGTTATTAGGATTTCGGAAAAAGTAGTAAAAGTAGTTTTAATCATGTGCAATGTTCGCGTAAATATAAGAAATCATTATAAAAATTTTCTGTAAAACTACTGGGACATGCATTTAATAACACATCACAAAAATATGTTGTCTCTGTAAAACATTAAAAAACACAAAAGTCACGACAACCCTTTTTAATAAAAGACAAGTAGCCTTTTATTAAAAAAAGAAATAATTGCCAAAATTAAACCATTTTATCAATTATTTATTATATAGTAAAATTGTAATTTCACTAAGATGATAATAAATAAAATTCTTCAAAAATTTTTAATCATTTTTGAATAATAATAGATATACTTAAATAAGCAATTTAATTACTTATGACTTCGTTTTCTATCTCTGACTCTCCATTCTAACTTTTAATCTATGATTAAGATAAAAATAAAACATTATTAGTGTTCCGGCTTTAAATTTAGCAAAAAGGAACACTTATAGAATTAACTAATGGACTTAATTTATTACCTCGGTTTTTGTCTGTCTGCCTGTCTTTCAAAAGGATATCCTGAGCATTTTATGTACATGATTGAAATTTGACAGGGTTATAACTTATAATACTTACAGTAATCTTAATTCAGGTGTAAAGTTAAAAAATCAAAATTGACGTAATAGGTGTATTTAGGATCATCTTGTGGAAAAACTATCCACTAAAATCTCTTTGAAGCACTCTTTATAATTTATCACTTTTTGTTTTATTGTTTTATTAGATACTTTCCGTATCAAATTAAGGAACTAATAGTCAGACCTTCTAAAACAGTAATGTTATTTAATTTATGGATCGATATAAGTAAACCTAAGTATGAAATATTTCTCCCATGGAAGCAATATAGGTGCGTTAGCTTTTTGCATTTATAAAAGAAAGGAATGAATATATTTATTTGATATATACAGTATAACAAAAAAAAAACTACAGCAGCATTAAGCTGCTATTTTACGCTGGTATTCTGTGAGAGCGTGGTCCTTCCCCGGTCGAGCCGACCCATTCGTTCTATTACCACCATACTCGCAATGTAACTGCAGAGTGGTTCTACTACATATACTGGTTTATAAGATCGATCACAAGTTTACGAGATGTATCGATTTAGCATGTCAGGTCATAGGAAGAAACAAGCAATATTTGTCTCTATGTAGATCTTTACTAAGATTTGTTAATTAAAATTTCAGTAGTGTTAATAAGCAACATACCAAATGGTTGATGATTAATTAACTTATTAATAGAAGTCGATGTGATAAAGTAAAAGTAAAGATTTCTTACTGTTACGCGAACACTACACAGTACGTATTGAATTCATTGATCTCCCCATAACCCGTGACGAAACGTCAGGAATTAAAAATAAGCGATAAAATAAGATAAATAAAATAGATCTCACTGTCAACATTTAAATTGAAATCGTTAACACAATATGTACCTACTATGCCCAGCCTTATGACCTATAAAACTATAAAATGATCTGCAAAACAATATAAGAAATCTTGACGATACTAAAGTTTTTATTTATAAAGGGTAGTCTTAACGTATTCTGGCAATAAATAAATTAGCCACATACAACAAAAAAAGGCTACGCCTTTTACTTTATTCTTGCTTGTGACAAAAAATTATATAAGTACCAAAAACACTCTATATCCCTAAACTAAGTACGAAAACCTTAGGGGATCATCTTTGTAACGCCGCAGCTCCATGTGATTGGTTGGAACCTTTACTCGCGTTACCAATGGGAGGCAAAGGATAAAGTTTCGCCCATCCATGGACAGATGCGCTAAAGGTGCATTGTATTATCTGTATTTACGAATGTTATGCCGTCTTGTTATAAAAATAAAGTCAAAAAATATCACCTGCTTTGCACGTTAGGGGGTGTGATTATAGCGGTTTTCGTGATATATTAAGGCATTGCAGGTAGACAAAAAAATATGAATTAGGTAGCTCATTCAATTCAGTATTACCTGGTATGTAAAAATATTTAACACAAAATATTATCATTAATAATACATTATGAAGACTAAGGTATGAATTACATCCATTCATGAGATATTTTTATTACAGGTTGGCATGTGCCACAGGGGACGCCAGGCAGCGGGGAGGGCAGCAGTGGGAGTAGTATGGCGGAGGCGGCGTCCTTAAGTCGTAGTCCAAGATTCCTGCGCAAGAAGCGTCGACTCTCGCGGTTACTGGACAAGCTGGCAGTTCAACTGCAGAATAACAATCATTATCCACTCCCACCCTGGCTCATGCTCGAGCCTCCTTATTTTGAACCGAAGGCTCCGGAAGAGGCTCCGCTTGATCTCTCTGTGAAATCAGAAACACCGAAAATAGAACGAAAGGAACCGGCCGGCTACAACTGCGAGACTTGCGGTCAGACGTTCGCTGTTCATGACCGCCTTGCTAAGCACGTTGCTTCACGACACCGTGACAAAACACCCGAAGCAGCCCGTGCATACGAGTGCGAGATTTGCCGCCGGCGTTTCGCCCGCTCCGATATGTTGACCCGCCACGCCCGTTTACACAGCGGCATTAAGCCGTACTCTTGTTCTGCTTGCGGGCAGGTGTTCTCCCGCTCGGACCACCTGGCGACTCATCAACGCACTCACACAGGTGAGAAGCCTTATCGTTGCCCTGCTTGTCCATACGCCGCTTGTCGCCGTGACATGATTACGCGCCACATGAGGACGCACTCACGTCGAGCGCCACCCACCGAAATCTAGAACCGTTTAACTCTGGAATACTATTTATCGGCCTTTAAACGCTTATGCTATTGATGAATCGCCTCTTCTTCAAGAGATAGATGTAAGTTTAGTTTATATTGTATATTGATTTATTTAGTTTACACTTATATGTTGGGTGTAATAAAAGCTAATCCATTGTAATATATAATAGAAGCTTTTCCATTCCAACGGCGACGTATATTTGAATTAATTGGGTGTTTTCTTTTTGTAAACTTAGGGTGACGCGGCCCTTCGAGGACTTCACTTGTGTACTATTGGTAAGAACGACATATCTCATTGCAAAATCTGCAGAGCGGACGCAGTTGCGATTATTTTAGCTGATATGCGAATATAATTTTAACATAAAGATTCATTTAGAAAAACCTGCTGAGCGCAATGTGATGTGTCTGTTAAACTATTGGCTAGAAACTGCTGTTTCATTTTTAATCGAAATATTAAACTATGTACATAACGTGCCAACAAGGTTCTATGCTATGCGCTTCTAATTATTGTTGTTCATATTGGTAATAAAAACAGTATTAGATAAATACATAGCACGTTACGTAGTATTGCAACTTTGTATTTTAAATGCATTGCAATGCATTTTAAAACTTATTTTAATTTAAAACCTAATGTAATTAATTGACCAGTGTATTATTTTAATATATATATATATATATATATATATATATATATATATTGTGTAAGAAAAAAGGACTTAAATATGAGTAAATGTACTGTAAATGGTAGCCCAGTAAGAGTCCTTCTCATTGGGCGTGTTTATTCTATTGTATAATGTATATAAGTTAATTAGCACATACACTTTACAAAACTTTACTTAATTATTTGTAAATTAATTTAAAACATGTAGTTTCTGTTATGAAAATATTTCAAGCGTCTATCGTAACATATAATTACATTACACAAGATATTAATTTTTTTTAACTTTGCATGAGATAGGTGAAAACTATAAATTCATGAATTATTTTTGCAAACCAGCGCTTGTTATCTCCTATCGGACCTGCTGGTAAGTGGTGATTTAGACGATGTTAAAACCCACTAAGGATCTTGTCCCAGCGTCGACAAAAAAGCGATAAACTATTTTTTTACTATTTTCTCGGTCAAGAAACGAACAATGGACATAGATTATAGACCCCGTGTCAATAAAAGAGATATATAAATTAATAGTTGAACGCGTCTGTTCACACTGCTGGCGAGTAATCTTTCTCCACAAGTTTGCCGCGGCGACATGAGTTATCAAAGATAAAACTCGGTTAGAGATGTTCGCTTGGCAGTCTCACGTCGAGAGACTGACCAGCGGTCATATTACTCTACATTGCGGTTTTAATCTGAGTGCACTGGCTTACGGTCCAGCGACAAAACTGTTGGAACTACACACTCGCTTCCACTGCTCGCCAACTCGCATCTAGTTTCTAGCTCTACTCACTTCTTGTTCATCGGTGGCGGTAGGACTAAAGCCTTATCCAGCTTAACAAAAGCCTATTCTCTCTTGCCTTAAAAACACCGATGTAATCAGATATAAAGGCAGATGCTAGCAAATTATTCTATTTCTTTGATATACGCCTGACTAAATACGAAGCAAACTGTTTGGTTCAAATGCATGGTATGTCGACAACAAATTCGTGAAGACTGGCCAAATGTCTAATTTTCCGATAGTGGAAGGAACATTAAGTCATGCAATTCGCGTACACATTCACAGAAATATGTTCGTTAAAACATGGAAAGGTTAGTTACTTTGCAACCAGTGATCCTTTTAGCACGCCTTCAGCACAAGCCCATGTATGACGGTAATACTCCATGCAGGACTGGACTTACGCTTTATAAATTGTAAGCAGCTGTCCCAGTGTGATGCACCACCGCATCTTAGCATGGACACCCAATAACATTGCAGCTGCTTTAACTTTGACTAAAGGAGGTCGGTGTAATCCAAAGATACATTTCGGAAAGAAGGAGCTGAGGGGAACTGGTTCAATTTTGCGGTGAAGGTAGGTAGGTCACCTACTTGTGTTTTGGAGGCGTTGAATTTCAGCACTCCATTCAGGGAGTAGTCGCAGTGAGATTTGAACGCTCAACAATAGTTTCTGTTTCGGCGGATTTTTATCTCGACTAGCCCAAACACTCGACTGATATTTCTCCACTAGTGCGCTGTCATCAGCATACCCATGCCACGCATAAGCAGGTCATTGATATAAAGCAAAAATTACGTGGCGGAAAAAGCGAAACCTTGAATGCCTTCGGCATTAATCTTCGCGTGCTCGGAAGATCAGCCTTCGGCAACAACTCATTCGTTCACTCATAAAGCCCTTCTGATGAAGCTGATCAGGCTAGGGGATCAGCAAGAACTTTACGTATATTTTCTTTAATAACATAATGGATTCAATTAACTTGTATAAATTAAGATTGTAAGATCTCGATTAATTTTTTATTGTGTTTTGCTGAAAAGTATGGGGCGCAATTTTATGTAAAATGGCTGTTGAATATTTTTCATATTTACAAGAAAATTATTGACGCAACAATTTTTCTGTGTGAAATATTATATATGTGCGATATTTAAGGATCTTAGGCATTACAAATATAGTATCTTTGTGTCCTTTAACTTTTACTATTATATTGCTATATGTTTTAAACGTTTTAATTATCACTAAAAATATTATAAAAAACGCGGGTGTGTTTTATACCTATGCTTATACTTACTCGTAAGATTAAAGTACTTATAGGTACTTATAGGTACCTGTACTATTATGAATTTTGTAGTTCTTATAATCTCTATTGATACGTGTACAGTCATATAAAGACGTCGGTTTAAATATTATTTTGTTTATTGAAATCTTTAGAAGGAATTTTCTTTAGCATTAAAGTGTAATAATAATTTATAGTTTTCTCTGCTTTAATGCATTTGTACTTTGCGATTAACTAACGATTTCTTACAAACAAAAGGTCGTTTTTTAGTTAAAAATATGTATTTAAATATGTCGGTTAATATTTCGTCTTAAAAATGCTGGAGTTTAAGTTTATAAACTAAACTAAAAAAAACTAGCGACCCGTCCCGGATTCGCCTGAATATAATCTAATATATTCATTTGGTACCTATTATAGATAATCAAACACCATTTATTCGTAAAGTTTCACAACAATCGGTACTAGACATGATGTGTCAATCGTCACGCGTAACGGTACGTTCGGATCGATCATTCAGATGGATCATTTAGGGCTCCAGTACCCTACACTAAAAACAATTCGTTCAGATCATTCGGGATTCGGTCGGATTTCGACTCATTCACAATTCACACTAGTCACGAGTTAAAAAAATTCCGTCAAATGTTTGTGATTGGTTGTACCGGAACATTCAAAAACAGATGAATGAACCATCAATACTTTTAAGTGTACCAGCTCAAACGAACGAATCATTAATGATTGACACATGTCTCATCGGTACAGCTATTCCGAAGATTAACCCGATCAGATATACAGACAGATAACAGATATACAAAAATTTGAATATATATTTCTGTTTTAAAATAAACCCTCTGAGCTCAATAGAAGTCTTTTTTCCATTCACAGACAGACAGTTCAATTTAAATTTTAAGTATAAATTATTACTTGCCATGAGTTATGTAGCAAAAATTCTATGCTTTATTCTTAAACTTAATATCTTTACTCCTGAAATAAACAATTTTAGATTTCTTAATAATGTTAATTCTTCTAAGAAGAAAATGAGTTTGTTTCAAAGACTTTATTACTGTTTTTGTATAACTACTTCTACTGGCGTTAAAGGAACTTGCTCGTTCAATATGGATATAATATGTAATAAAAAGCTTGAAAAAATATTCAACATAGTAATTTTGAACTACTATAGTGTACTCAACTTATTATTCTACACGTTGATGTTCTGATGTGTTGATGTTTGTATGTAACATCTTTGATTAAAAATTGTATGTATGTAATGTGTATGTGTCTTAGAAATGTAAACATCAGAGTTACAGCACATATAATAAATATTTCCCACGGCTGGGAACAGGCCACTTTCATTCCTATCTATTGCAATAAGTGATAATAAAATTTTATTAAATGTGCTACTAATATTATTAAGAAGTTTCATGAAAATAAAATTTTTAGCCTTTTTGACAAAAAGCGATTCAACAAAATATTTTTTAAATATAATTCTTATCGTGCTTACATTTTATGCTCGTAATATTGTGTTCAATTTCAATCGCACATTGCTGCGATTAAATTCCAAATTTATATACACACCTAGGTATTACAAATATTGTTATGTATTTTAAACATAATTATAGTAACTATTTTTGATAATGTTATATAAATTAAAACTACACCCGCTTAACTTGTTCGTATAATATGACGTAAGATATATGAACTAAATTCACAAAAAATTAACGTTAGCTCCCTTTGTTGTTAAATAATCTTCACAATAGACAAAGAAGGAATGTGAAATACTTAGGGATGCGATTATTTTCGTATCAGCCACTGTCAGAGTTGTACACCCGCTGTCTGCGGTTGAATTAGGATTTCTCATGCTTAGTTTAGTAACAAGACTGTTCTGGTTGAAAGAGTTTGTTGGATGCAAGGTCTATTGATATATTTTACGTGTATAGTTGTATTCTGACTTAATTAACAAATTTATAGCTTAATTAACAAATGTAAATCAAACTTCTTCGTATAACGTTCCGATAATTGTTAGTTACAATTTTGTATACATAATATTATGCACTCTACAACACTGCAACTGAATTCTATTTTAGTTTTTTCAAACTACTCGTTTGAATTCAAACCCATAGTTTATTTTGAAATGTGTTTAGTAGGAGAATTTCATTTGGATTTCTATCCTCTACGGAATTTCTTTCTTGTTTGTTGTTTTTTGTTTGTTGTCAATAGTTACTTAACTTAAACTTTGCATGTATTTTGGATAATGTTTATAGTTTATATTCTAATTCGACTTATTGTAAGTAAGAAGTGTTATA